ATGTTCACTCACTATGAATTTAGCTCCAAGTTTCTTTTCTCTCTCTCTCTCTCTCTCTCTCTATCTCTCTCTCTCTCTTTCTCTTTCTCTCACTTTCTCTCCTACTCTCTCTTTTTTACTCTCCCTTTCTCACCCACTTTCTCTTTATCTTTCTTTCTCCTTTTCTCTCTCTCTTTTTATCTTTCTTTCTCTCTCACTCTCTCTTTATGTTGTCGCTCTTTCTCTATGTCTATCTCTCTCTTTTTTTATCCCTTCCTCTTTCTCTCTCTTTCACTTACTTTCTCCCTTTCTCTTTCTCTCTCTTTCTCTCACTTTCTCTCCTACTCTCTCTTTTTTACTCTCCCTTTCTCACCCCTTTCTCTTTATCTTTCTTTCTCCTTTTCTCTCTTTTTCTCTTTCTTTCTCTCTCACTCTCTTTTTATGTTGTCTCTCTTTCTATATCTCTATTTCTCTTTCTCTCTTTTTTATCCCTTTCTCTCTCTCTCTCTCTTTCCTTCTCTTTCTCCCTCTCTCTTTCTCTGTCACTTTCTCGCACTTTCTCTCCTACTCTTTCTTTCTCTCTCCCTTTCTCACCCACTTTCTATCTATCTTTCTTTCTCCTTTTCCCTCTCTCTCTTTTTATTTTTCTTTCTCTCTCACTCTCTCTTTATGTTGTCTCTCTTTCTCTATCTCTATTTCTCTTTCTCTCTTTTTTATCCCTTTCTCTCTCTCTTTCACTCTCTTTCTCCCTCTCTCTTTCTCTGTCTCTTTCTCTCACTTTCTCTCCTACTCTTTCTTTCTCTCTCCCTTTCTCACCCACTTTCTATATATCTTTCTTTAACCTTCTCTCTCTTTTTATCTTTCTTTCTCTCTCACTCTCTCTTTATGTTGTCTCTCTTTCTATATCTCTATTTCTCTTTTTTATCCCTTTTCTCTCTCTTTCACTCTCTTTCTCCCTCTCTCTTTCTCTGTCTCTTTCTCTCACTTTCTCTCCTACTCTTTCTTTCTCTCTCCCTTTCTCACCCACTTTCTATCTATCTTTCTTTCTCCTTTTCCTTCTCTCTCTTTTTATCTTTCTTTCTCTCTCACTCTCTCTTTATGTTGTCTCTCTTTCTCTATCTCTATTTCTCTTTCTCTCTTTTTTCTTTATCCCCCACCCTATCTCTCTCTCTCTCTCTCTCTCTTCGCCTCAGATTTCTTGAATCCCACATATCCAAAAGTTTTCTGATGCCTTTCACCCTAACAACGATGTTATTTTTTCTCAATTTCTCTCCTCTTTCAGTGGCTTTTTTCTCTTGATCAATCTTCCTAGTTTTTCCTTTAAAAAAATGTTAATAAATCACTTTCTCGCCATTTTTTTGCCCTTTCTTGCCATCTCTGCTGCTTCCGCGCGTCTACCAGTTTCACTATGTCTGATCCTGCCTGTTTATATCTATCTATCTATCTATCTATCTATCTATCTATCTCATTTGTCTATTCCTTTCTTTATTTCTTTATCTATCTATCTATCTATCTATCTATCTATCTATCTATCTATCTATCTATCTCAATTTGTTCTTTCTTGTTTTATATACAAGGTGCTATAGGTAAAATGTCGCCATCTTATATTTATAATTTCGTGCATACGCGTTGTGTGTTTTTGATTTTGTCGACTTCACAGTAAAACAGGGTCAGTTGGGCACTGTCTGTGAGAAAAAGAGCATTATAACGCAATTCACTACGCCAGAAATTTGGAAACGGCATACTGTACTGCTTGGCATTCGTGTCGGAAGCATTTCAGAGTGTTTTGGTGTCAATCTGAGGACAGCGCAGAGAATTCAGAAAGAGTTGGATGAGCCTAATCGTGATTACGAAGGTACGGCAGCTCGGAAAAACTCACTCTGATAATTCTGATAAGAAAATAACTCTTGAATTTGTTGATGAAGGCCTCAAACTAAACATGGAGGCCTAAATCAAGTGCCTTGAAGAGGTAGTGCCGCCCCGAGTGAAAAGGTTGGCTGCTGGAAGACCCTATGTCTGGTAACAGGAATCTGCACTATGTCACGCAAGCAGGAGTACCCAGTCATGGCTTTCAGACAATTTCTGCGACTACATCACACCTTACATCAGGCCATTTAACTCCCCGGGCTGCAAACCCCTTGATTATTATGTGTGGGGCACAGTGGAGCGAGAGACCAACAAAACTCCTTGTAATACAAAAGATGAACTGAAGGCAAGGATTATAGCAGCATTTAACAACTTAAACAAGGAGACCGCCCAGAAGATATTCCAAAGTAGTCTGGAGATCGTGGTTGAAGCCAATAGCGATTTTATTGAATGAATTTACTCTTTAGTATTTCAGGATATTTCTGTGTAATTTTGGTAAATATACCTGCTAAAATAAGTTATCATTGTTATTTTTATTTTTGCGTAATTACGACGACATTTATACATTCCACCCTTCACACACACACACACACACATATATATATATATATATATATATATATATATATATATGTATGTATGTATGTATATGTAGGATGTATAGTAGTATCTGAAAAAAAGTGAAGATTATGACATAAGATGGAAAATTTAGCAATCACGTGTTTCGCCGAGAGAGCGTCTTTGGCTTCTTCAGGTTAGGATGAAAGATAGACAAAACTGTACGCTAGAAAGATTCCTTGGAATTTCTAAGGATAAGTAGTAACCGTAAATCTAAATTAAATCTGATTACCTTATCACCTTTAATATCCAGAATTAAGTGAATGTCTGTCCGCCTGTTTGTTTATTTGTTTGTTTGTTTTATCTATATCAGAGGCGTTTGATGTTGTTGGATTTTAAATTAGTTCACCGGTAACTAGGGGAAACCGTCATTGGATCTGACGTGCTTTGACATCTCAGTCAAGAAGTACCTCCTGGTCAATCAAAGGTTTTCGACACAGAACTTTCCCGATTCTCGAAATATACATCTCTGCTAAGTTTCGTATCCTAGCATAAAACAAAGACAATTTATAGGAATGGATTTTTCATTTATTAATCCGACAAATTTTGATTTATTACTTAAACCATTTTTTTTTTAATTTGATACCCAGATTTTAGGAGATACTCGGCTTTTTTTTTATTTATTTATTAAACAGTATATTTATTTACAATACATCTACTGGTCTGAATATTCAAGACTTACTATTAGAAATTATCCCTTTCTTCTTTCGATCCATAGTTTCCTCATATCGTAATCCATATCTCAGTTTCTTTTTGCCTGTCTTCTATCTATCTATCTCTCTCTCTCTTTCTCTCTCTCTCTCTCTCTCTGTATATATATATATATATATATATATATATATATATATATATATATAGAGAGAGAAGAAGAAGAGATGAATTGAGTCAAAACCGAGCAGCAACAGTCTGTTTCATGTTTGAATGCAATCTTCGGGCCATGTATGCTGTGTTCTAGCTTGACTATTTATATATGCTGATCAGTGGTGCATTATGAGTAGCAAGATCTATTATATTATCGCAACAGTTACTGGTTAGGCTGTAACTGTTATATTTCAAATTGTTCTAGATTTTATTGAGTAGAAATTGAGTGCGAATGCGGTTGTTAGTAACTGTTTTATAGTGTAAATATGTATATATAAATAGTCAAAACACAACAGACATTGGCTGCGGTCAAGCATGAAACAGACTGTCGCCACTCAGTTTATATCTATCTATCTATTCCTTGCTTCCTTTTAATCTCTCTCAGTCTAATCGTATCTATCTCTATGTCTTCTTTGCTTCCTTTTTAATCATATCTATCTATCTATCTATCTATCTATCTATCTATCTATCTGTGCGTATGTATGTCGTTGCTAGAGCAATATTTCTTCTGCTAAGCTTCCAGCCACACCAGATTATGCAAGCTGTCAATATGATTATAGAACAATAAAAGACAAAGCTGAATAGCATTACAAAGGCAAAGGATCAGAAGTTCTCGCCAGCAAACGCCTGCATTCACTTGCGTCTATAAACTAATCAATCATCTTAAGATTTATACAATAGCAGCAACAAACAACAAGCAATTCAACCGTCCATCCAACAATTCTTTATGTGTTTTTTTCCTTCACCGGCTTTTTAACAAAAGAACATGTTTTTATTACTTAAAAGTCTACGATTTTCTTAGTTCTTTTTTTTTTCACTTTTTAAATAAAGAAATGGATTTAATTAAGAAGAGAAAATCACGACGTTTTACACAGCAAAATGTGGAAAAATACTTTCTGCTTATTGATATTAAGGAATTTGCTTTAAATTATTAAGAATGAAGATATGACAGTTATTATTAATACTGTTTTTCTTACATCTTAAAACTGTTTCGTTTTTTTTTTTTACCATAGGTCCCAAATCCTTATTCTAAGATCATTATATAAGCAGCTTGAAATGTAAATTTAGAAAAAGCTTTCGGTTAAGACTGGAATTTTGATTTTTCATCACAGCGCCTTACCAATTAGGTCATTTGCCTTGACACAAACAAGTACAGTGTAGAATTGCATATTCTCTATATATGCAAATATATATATATATATATATATATATATATATATATATATATATATATATATATATATATAGAGAGAGAGAGACAGACAGACAGAGAAATGTTTAGAATTCGCTTTACTTATAAGGGAAGAGGGCTCAACATTGACGTTAGACCGTTTATGGGTTTACAATGGGGACACAGGAATCAACTTTGCGCGGTGACTGTCAGTTTCACGCTTCAATGAGATCTTCAAAATATTGACACTATATATATATATATGTGTGTGTGTGTGTGTGCGTGTGTGTGTGTGCAGTGGATAAATTGCCGCTATCTTATATTTATAATTTTGTGCATACACGTTGTTTGTTTTTCATTTTGTCGATTACACAGTATATAGATAGATGAGATAGGCAACATCTGTGAAAAAAGTTTACCATGATGCAATTCACTGCGCCAGAAATCTGAAAACGGCATGCTGTACTGTTTGGCATTGACACCGGAAGCTTCAATATGTATATTCATAGTGTTTGGATGGCAATCTGACAAAAGTGCAGAGGATTCGGAAAGAGATGGATGAGTCTAATAGTGATTAGAAGGTGTTTGGAATTATCACTAATGGTGACGATATTATACCTACATTCATCATCCCGCAGGGCCTCAGACTCAACATGGCGACGTACATCGTGCCTTGAAGAGGTAGAGCTGCCATGATTCAAGCGGATGGCTGCTGGAAGACCCTATGTATGGCAACAGGACTCTGCACCATGCCACACAAGCAGGAGAAACAAGTCATAGCTGTCAGACAATTTCTGCGACCACATCACCCTTACATCTGGCCACCTAACTCCCCAGACTGCAACAACCTTGATTATTATGTGTGGGACGAAGTTGAGCGATAACATCTTGTAACACCAAAGATGAATTGAAGACAAGGATTATGGCAGCATTCACCAACTTAAACAAGGAAACTGCCCAGAAGAGATGCAGGGTTAGATTCCGAAGTCGTCTGAAGGCAGTGGTTGAAGCAATGGCGATTTTATTGAATAAATTTACTCGTTAGTATTTCAAGATATTTTTGTGCAATTTTGGTAAATATACCTGTTAAAATGAGATGTAAGTGTTTTTTTTATGTTTCTTTTTGTTGTTGTTGTTGTTTTTTGTATTTTTCATTTTTGCGTAATTTTGTGGAATTTATCCATTCCACCATATATATATATGTGTGTATGTGTGTGTGTGTTTTTAAATCATATATATATATATAAATATATATATATATATATATATATATATATATATATATATGTGTGTGTGTGTGCACATACGTACGCTCATAAGCGCAAACGGGCGCACACACGCGATAGCACGCACGTACGCACACACACATACACTACGAAAAAATTACACCAATGGAAAGTACATATAAAAAAAGACAAAAATCGAGTACTATAAGCAGTCAGTTGCTGATACCCCTGACGAGTAGATGGAATCATTCCTGGAGGATGCTGAAGGTAACAACAATCAGCTATGTCAGAAACCTTTTACTTGTAATATATATATATATATATATATATATATATAGTTTTAAGTTATGGCATATTTATATGATAAAAGTACTCAATATCCGGGATAGAACGTATGAAAATATAAGCAGTGTGGACACAGGGTTCAACATCGAGTCGCGCCAGTCTGCTTCATGCGATATTCATGCCCGAAGATTGCGTTCTGTCTTCTTAATTCCTGATCTTTTCTTTTTCGCTCTGCTTAATAATGTTTTCTTTTTGTCATATTCTCTCCCATT